CTATCTAATATCAATATTTGCATTGAATTTCGACAGCTCTGCCGATGCTCACAAGCTATCTATTGAGAAGAGCAAATATCTTGGAGGTATGAGTTCTTATGCAGCTAGCTAGTGATTGGTATCACCTGAAAACATGTTCTTGTGGTAAAAGTCTTGGCCAATCTTTTAACAGCAGAAATTGTTTCTCACATTCCGAAACACAAGCCAATGTCTTTCTATTTCAGACTCTCCTGCATGGATTTTGACTAATCCAACTGAGTTAGATTAACAAAATGGACTTTTATGTAGACTAGCGTTGTTTCTTTCTTTTCTTTATATTCTTATTCCTTTTTTTTTCTTATTTTTTATCTTTGTTTGTCGGATTATACATAGGATGGGCTGTAGCTTGGCCAGCTTGACCTCATGATTCATTCTAAAATCCACGTGTTTACAGCATGTGTCATTGTTCTGTAACTCCTTAAAATTGGCTGTGAACATGGATAGTTGAATAATACTGAGTCTTGAGTTGGCCCCTTACTTACCCATGGGTTCTACTTATCGGTAGATGATTATATCATTCAGGTGATGTTGAGCACACACATTTGGTCAAAGGGTTGGATTATGCTTTGCTTCATAAAGTTAGAAGTGAAATAGACAAGATGCCTGATCCTGGAGAAGAGAAAGATGGAAAATCTATGTACGTAACCCCTTTGATCTAATTGTGTAGAAATGTGGTGGTACATGTTCCTAGATTTATTTTCTCCTTGCTTTTCATTTTTCTGAGGTGATCTATTTTTACTTACACTAGTAACCTTAAACTTTTTCAGTCTTTTCTATTTATCTGCGTAGTGTTCAAGACTAGTACCAGCTTATCATTGCCTCTTTGGTACTGATATGCCAAAATTACTTTTCTTTGTTAATTAAAAATGCCAGAGTTAATATAAAATGTTTTATGTGTGTAAAGTCTTGGTATTATTATCAGTTTTCCTTATATTGTGTATTGAAAACATCTCCTTTAACAGAGGTCCGAAGGATGACCAGCCAGTTGCATTCCGCACTGCATCAGCAAAGGTGTGCCTGATGTGTCTGTCTTTTTCCCCCTGGATATTTTGAGTCTGTTGCATGATCTTTGTCAACTGAATGACTTACTATTTTTGTTGCAGTCGATTTATCAGTGGATAGTCAAGCCACAAACTGTCATCAAAACCAATGAAATGTTTCTCCCTGGACGAATGGCTTTTATATATAACATGGTGAGATACTCTAATATTATATGTATTTATTTGTACCATTGTGTATGAAACCAATGCTAAATGGTTTGTTCCAAATCTGTTAGTTGATTAATCATCTTTATATTTTGGAAGATAAAGAGAATCTTGAATCCTTCATGTAGCGCACTTATATATTTTGCATTTTGATACTAATTGAACTGACAGCTTTCTAATCCTCACCATATGAAAACAACAATTTAAAAAATGAAAAAGTTATCAGCTTCTCCATTGCAACTATATGTGATTTATCATTCAGCCTAGTTGTAACCAAGCCATATTGAAATTGATGTAACTACCTTTACGGCTTTACGTGCAGTGACTTATTTGTTCGAGCATAATCTATTCTTCGAGATGTAATACACCTTATGCTTAAGTTGTACCAGGCTTTTTTTAGCAGAACTTTAGTAAAACTTTTCTTGGAGATGGGTCACAGATTCGTTTTGTGTTTGCTACATGTGTGATTGCTTCTAAGTACAATTAATTAATAAGCATTTATGTATCCTTGACTGCGTCCATTATCCATAGCACTTTGTTGGCCATGTGCTTTTGGAGCTTGAATGGTTATCCTTCTCTTTCTCAAAAAGTTTACTGCTCAGAGATATCTAACCAAAAAAGGTTATGTTGCATGTGTTTCTAGGAAAATGGGTTCTCTCATGATATTCCAACTACAGTCCATAGAAGTAAAGCCGATTGTCCTGTACCTGAGGTGATTTTTTTCTATTTAATTGCAAATATAGCGTTTTACTGGTGCCAGTATGCTTTCTTGATGATGATTGTTGAAACTTTTTTCCTTTGCTTGCAGGAAATGGTCACTGTCAGTGTTGATGGTTCAGTTCTAG